GGCCAAATTACCATTTCAACTTTGTTGATATATTCAAAATATCTTGACAGGTGTTTAGACATTTCGAGGTGATATCAATATGATCATACGATACTCAATCTGGCGACACCAATAAATGATGCAACGACACCAACAAATGATGCAACGAGTAAGACATATGTTGGCTCACGAGCTAACCCTAATTAGATGGCCCCGATATAATGACAGGTAGTTTGAATGTTGGCAACCATAAAATCATCAATATGACGACATCAACAAGAGGAACTGAAGCTACTATTAAGACATATGTTGACACCCATATGATCACAATGGTTAGACTAGATTGTTCAAAAGCAATGACTAGCGATCTTGACATGAATTGAAACAGCATTATCAATAGGAAAGAATCTACATCACATGAAAGTACTTATGCAGCGAATGTCAATTATATGAATGAGACATTTCTGACAATAATGCTTTAGTAAAGTCTCCATATGAAAAATATGTTGATGACCAGCTAAATCATTCGGTGGCAAGTACTGACAAGAACGTTTTCAATATCTTATAGAAAACCTTTATTCATGGCCCCAAAGGTGATAAAGGAGAAAGAAGCAACAAGGGAGACCAAGGGATTAAAGGAGATAAGGGAGAAGTTGGTCCCCAAGGTATGCTGGAAATGAGGGCCACAGGATCCCAGAGGTAATTTTGGGCCTCTAGGAGTCAAATTACTGAAAAGGTCCTGGAAGGAAAAGCTAAGAAAACAGCCAAGTCTCAAATATATTACAATCGAACTGCCAAAGATCTGAGTGTTTTAAAATCTGGTGATACTGTAAACATCAAGCCTGAAGGACTAACCAAAGGACATTGAAAAATGGAGAAAAGGACTTATTGTTCAAAACAATCCATTTCATTCATACAATGTTGACAATGTTTTGTGGCCAACTTCTCAGAAGAAACCGCGTACACCTTAAGCCCGCGGGAAAACCGCCGAATACGGAGAAGACACAATCTGCCCCAAATCCAAACGCGAAGGTCAAAGTCCGTGCCTCGGAAACCAAAATTTCCAGTTTAAATCCTGTATCTAGTTCTACAAAAGTTAAATCTGAGCCCACTAAGCCTGTTAAGTCCGTCAAGAAGATGGAACTAGTTGTTGCAAAACGGACACGTTCAGGAAGTCTAGTTAAAATACCAGCAAGATACTCTTCATAGACTGTTAACGTAAAATTGTTCATTTTACTGGGGGGAAGGTGTTAGGAGATTGGACACTAGTCTAAAATATTATGGTATGTAGAGCAACCACGAGGTGGAGATTAAAAGGTTGAGTTGAGTTCATGTGTAGTCGTCGCTTCCACGCAATAACAAACTCCACCTGCAGTAAGTGGAGGTCGTGTTACCACTATGTATATTGGTAGAAAACAAGATACTAATAGTAAATGGATGGATGTCTCATTTTTTGAAATAAGGTCTATTGCAGTTAAGATGAAAGTGAAGTTTGGTGTTGAAAATGGTATACTTGATAGTGGTGAATATGTTCATTTGATGATGGAAAAAATAGCTAAATAATCTAGCCAATGATATATGAGCATGAAATAACAAAGACGATCTATCATCAACTTCTGCCATGTGGATGAATCATTAGATGAAATCGCAAATGCAGAATTGGTTTCTAGCACAAAAAATACTGGCTGTTTAAAAGGGCTTATAAACACTTCAAATCCCGTGTTCTTTCGTGCACAATTGGATCTGCCTGTTTGGTTGTTGAAAGTAATATTGCTAGTGGTGTAGCCATGAATCCAGTTGTCCTTGGAACCATACCAGGTGCTAGTTTGCTGTTGAAGACCTTGTTAGAAGCTTAAAGCTTCGAAAGAAAAATTGAAATGCGCAGGTTTGCCTTCACATCATATGAAAAAAATCTGAATGAAATAAGGTCATTCATGCGAAGAAAATCATTTGAGAAATTTGAAGATGCTGGATGACATTTTGACGAGCATGTGTCCTGCAACAGACAAATTTACTAAAGAATATAAACGTAAAATCATCTGAGAATCTGTAGGATGACATCTCCTTCTCTTGCATTGTCTTTCTCCAGAATTGTTCATACCTTTTTAATGTTCTTTTTGATTTGATAGTATCGATATCAACCTCCATATCCATCAATGAGAACAACTTCTTGATTATAAATTTCCCATTTACCATTCCTTTTCTTTCCCTCTTTATACCATCAAGCACTTCGAATGCTCTGTTCACTTTTTCTATAACGCTTGGTTCTATCTGCAAATTTTATCTACTTTCAAGAGGGACAATTACCTTCATAACATGGTACTTGTGGTCATAAACAGACTTTTTGTGAAACTTATATCTATTCTCATGATAGCAAATCTCTTGTGAGGTGACCATATATTTTTTACCTATCTCAGGAGCACTTCATATAGTCTTCCTAAGGTTGGGGAAAAATTTTTGGACCCTTCAGGACGACTATGAAGTGCTCCTGAGAGTGGTGAAAATGTTTTGGGGTTCTCAGGAAAGTGGGCCAGAATCCCCATTTATTACACTACTCAAATCTTAGGTATAATTTGTTTATGTTTAGATACATATCCGACTTCAAATGACTGCTCGAGGCTCTATTTTCGACGCGCACGTAAACTATAGCTGGTAAAAATGAGACTGGCGAGCAAAACTTCCAAACTTACAAAGAAATAACAATTACACTCGACTATAAAATCCTGGATAAAACAAAGCCCTCACCGACTCTTTGTCTTTTTTTTCAAACTTCTCATCTAGGAAAATAACACCCAGTGGATCTCCAATGTGATTGTCCAGGCGACTCATTTCTGTGATACACTTTTTCCAGATGTCTGTCTCGCCCGTGCTTCCCATAACCACCCTGTGATAGTTGTAGAAAGCCCTCCTGTACTCTTCACTAAGGTGAGGAGCAAGTTGAACAACTGCCTGCCACATCATGTAGTTTGCAAGAATCCTGATGAAAAGAAGAGGAGGGAAATCATTTAAACTGCAATATAAGAAATCGACTAATTTAAATCTAAACTACATGATTATTGAGTCTGTCGGAAAAAATGCGACGCTTTTCCCTTAAAGTGCCTATAACCCCAAAAATTCTTTGACCATATTAAATCCCTCTATTGCACTGAGCAAAATGCCGCAAAAAATTTTGTGTTTGGTTAAAACCGCGATTTTTTATTATTTTTCAAAGTCAGGTTTATTTTTGGAACGACCGAGTGAACCAGAGACGGGGGGCTAGTGACGTCATTCCAGGCCATCGGCAGTGGCGCTCCGATCCAATCTCAGTCAGAATATTATACGTTTCCAACGAGATGAAACCTTCGCTAAAGCCTGATCTGGTAAATTTTTCTCTCCTTTCTCTTACTACACTCGCTTTCAGCTGATTTCGTTTCCTCAACATTCCACGCGTGAACAGTCGGAAAGACGCAAATTCCAACTCCATCTTTTCGCAACCTTCGTTGCTTGGTCTCGCTAGTCAGAGGAGAAAACATGACTGAATAGTCTTCTTCTCGGAAGTGGCTGGAACACATGGCCGAGTATTTTGTGGGCTTCCAATCTGCACGCTTCAATTGCACAAAGTCAATCCACTTCTTTCTTCTCTTTTTTTCTCCGGGTCATCTGCCCTTTAAAAAGGTATCGGATGAAGTGCTATTCTTTTTTCTTTGTAGGGAGTGTTGCTACACCCGAAAACAACGCACTTATAAGGCATATCCGTCAGGATACTTCATCCAGTCCTTGAAGGAAACTCATTGGAAAGCCTGGAGTGACGTCACAAACTGTGCTCGACCCAGACCCATCTTGATAATTCCGTGCCTCGGTTGTGTTTTGAAAACATGCGATTTTCCACGACTTTGAAAATTCATAAAAAATCGCGGTTTCAACCAAAAACAAAACTTTTTGCGGAATTAATTTTGCTCAATGCAATAAAGAGATTTAATATGGTCAAAGAATTTTGGGGGTTATAGGCACTTTACATATGGTGCACAATCCTTGCAGTAGATAGCGCTATTTAAGCAATAGCGAAAATCAGACCTGAAAAAAAAATCAGGCCTGTACGGGATTCGAACCACTGACCTCTGCGATACTAGTGCAGCGCTCTACCAATTGAGCTAACAAGTCAACTGGGAGCAGGCCGTTAAGTTGATTCGTAATAAACCCGTGAAAGTGATAAATCAGATACAATGAAATATATGAATCAGATACAATGAAATATATGTTTATATACGTAGATTGGACGAAGGGGAAAGACATAAAAGAATGTGTTTTTAAAAGACATTTCCCGTTCACCTGGAATCACCATGGAGCCTTTTTCCCGGACTTTGCACGTTCGAAGCAACGTTTAGAGAGAAACCTTTGCGTTGTGTCAGAAACCTTTGCGGTGTGTCAGGCCAAGAAAATGACTGTCCATAGGTTTCTCAGTGAAAAGAAGAATAACAACACTAATTTTTCAGCACTGAAAACATCGGTGAAAATCACAGGATAATTCGTTTTCTCAACTGAGTTGATGATGTGAATTGGCCTCTCTAAAGAGGTCCTAAAGTGACGTTTCGAGTGTTGGCCATTCGTCAGAGCAAATAAATGAAATGTTTGCTAGCGAACAGGATTTTTATGATTTTTCCCTTGGCAACCTAATGGTTAACTGTCTTGCGTTACTTGTTGCGTGACAACATCCGGGCATGTGCCGAGAGGTCTTGGAGTTAAATCAATGCATGACCCTCTAAGAGTAAAGGTCGGTAAGTGCACAATCTGCTGCTATCGTGTCATTCTATTCTTTGACTCGCTGAGAAAGGAGTGTTTTCCCTCCCAACCCTACCCTGAATTTCTCCTCTCGGCATAACTCTCGGTTGCTGTTCCAATTTCGTTTTTGAGTGCCCTCACCTTTACTGGGCCATAAAATGTTTAATTTGTTCCTGCGAAATTTCTCAAGATCTCAAAACATGTTTTTATTAAAGTGGCTATGGGCCTCTGTCCACAGCCAGTTAACTCCAAGCAGTGGTTTGCTTTGATTTGTGTTGGGGCCCTGCAAAACGAGCTTCGGGATATGCAGCACTGGTTTATATACGTAGATTGGACGAAGGGGAAAGACATAAAATAATTTTGGGTTGTGTGTAGTTGATATGCAGAAAGATGGAGCTGCTCTATATGAGAGAACGTTGCAACGCGAAAAACAAAAATAATAAAGTTGAATGAAGAGCGTTCGTTCGTACCATGAAAATTAAAAGTGCCGATTTCAAGGATGGATTTTTCTTTTAGAATGTTTGCGGCTTTCCTTGCTGTAAGACTTACAAGGAGCAGGGAAGAAAAACTGTTTAGGATGCGTCTTTGTCATCTTTCTCTACGGCACGACAGAAACTAGTTGATTGAATGGCTTGCGGGCGCGATATCAGTAGCTCCGTTACCGAATGATGTTATTGAGTTTTTACTCCTTAAATATTCCTTTCTAAATATTTGAAGTGTTTTTTTGTTACTCTACCTTTGATTAAAATCTAATTTGCCAACGAGGAGAAATGGAAGAAATTCAAAGCCCAGTACAAAGCGCACGAGATCAGGCCGCCAATACAGTGGCGCAGATTAGAGAATTGTTCAAGAATTATTAAAGGCTCAAGAATCAATGATGAAGATCCTTTTTGATACGATTTTGCAGTCGTTCACCACAAGAATTACTGAGATTGTGTAATTAGTTCAGTCCATCAAGGACGTTGACAAAACCTGATACCTCCACAAAAGTACTGGATCAGTTGAAATCTGTGTATGGAAAACCAAAAACCGTCAAAACGACATCAGGATTAATGGAATCCCAAAGTCAACCCGCGAAACGTGGGTAGAGTGTGAGGACAAAGTGAAAGTTACCATTAAAAACAAGATCCGCATTGAAATCGACATCGAGAGAGCGCACAGAGTCGAACGCAAACCCAGACCAGGACACAAATCGTCAACCACGCACCATAGTTTGCAAATTACCCGACTGGAAACATTTTTTTTTTTTTTAAACTTTATTTAAACACGGAAAATCATCAGATACATAATAAAAACTAAGATTAATCAACTGCTTTACATGATTGCTAATCGATATATAGTCGATATATAGGAATCCTATATATCGACTACGTTAAGATTTCGCCTAAAATGGTTAATGGATGAAGCATTCTTTAAGTTTNTATTAAACTTTCTTAGACTTTTTATTTGAGTATATGTCTTTCTTAGCTTGAAGTTGTCCGTCCTCGTGCACTACAATATTTTTCCTACTATTTATCGAGGTTTGGAGTGTGAATCCTTTTGGATCCTTCTGGCGCGGCGTCACTGTTGGCTCGAGGCCTTTTAACTAGTTATATATATATATATATCGATTTCGAATAGGAAATATTTTTTTTTTTGGTCAAGATAGGTGTAAATGTTTCTTTTCAAGTTAGAATTTGAAATCGATTCCCAGGTTGATACACGCGCATGCGATAAACACTAAACCAATATAGGATCTATATTTCTTTCTTCCTTCGCTATTCTTTGAGGCGTTCGTATATCGGAGCGGTCAACTGAAGTCATTTCGTGACTTCAGAAATTACCTAAGTATTGTACGATCATAGCTTTAAGAATAATATCAATTTGGTTAAAGAGCACGTGGCAATTAAAAGAACCAAGAGAAGTAAGAAACTAGCGATAGTTTTCCCTTTGAATCACAACTATGAGTTAACATAATCACAAAAACAGATTGTCGCTTACCAACGTTCGCGGGTCTTGACTACTTATCGAGGATTACGGTCTAACTTGTCATCTGTTTTAAAGAACGATCTTGATTACACGAGATCTTATCCTGAACTGAAACGCTAACTATAATTTTCTGTCTTAAAATGAACTAACCACGGAGGCTGATAGTTTCGAAAGAAACTGTTTGGGGCTGCGTCGGTGGGAGTAACGAAATAATTTGGATATATCAAGAAAGTTGAAATGGTAAATTAGACACCGTAACGGAGGCGTTTATCAAACCATAAAATATTTCGCAGCTTCTATCGGAAGCGGTAACAATAGGACATCTTCCTGATGCTCTTAAGAGAATATTTCCGTTGCCGAGTAGCATTCCTTGCTATTACACCAGTTAGCGCAATTCCTCTTGCATGCCCTTTTGCAGAACAAATATCAAACAGTTTGCGCTATGTTCTTAGAACCTAGTATTTTTAATTCTTTGAATATAGAAATCCAAAATATTGGCACTCTTTCTCTAAACTGCGAACATTATTTCCTAAAAATTTACACCCTTCTTATTCTTATTTATTTCTTTTTCTCTCACTTTCCTCAAGCTGCTTTGTTTGACTTCGTGCTATTGTAGTTGTTTTATGTGCGTGTTCTTTCCTTTTTAACCTACAATATTTTGAACTTTAATCAAGCCATATAACTTATACCTCATTTTTGTAAAACATGAGTAGCCTGTAGCTCGCAAAGGCTTCTTGGTTTCTCCGCGGGTTTTCATGCAAAATTCTCAGTTATATTATATTAATGCATATGTAATTCCTTTTATTTCTACTTATGTGTTATAATTACAAAATGGAAAATAAACAAAAAAAACAGTAAACAGATAAATACAAAGGCGCTCTCGGAATCGGTAGCCTAGTAGTCTTCCTGTTTCGCCTTTTGCGCAGAGTGCAAGTTCAGCAATCGATGACATCGATGGAAGTACAGCTTAAATGATCATTAACCTTAACTTGATAGTTCGCCTGGATCCTGATTCGAAATTTCCTGAACGTTGTGAATGAAAGGACCAAAACGTTTTCTATGTTTATGTTGTGTTTGAATGAAATCATTTGAGTTTGCGAAAAGATTATATCTGTTTCGGAATAATTCTGAAGTAATTTGAAGCTTTTTTCAGAATATATATATCTAGATTTTGCTGCGTAGTGACGGTGAAATGTGATGGTAAATAGAATTCAATAATTGTTCTCCTTCTGTGTCGTTTGGCGGTGATGCCCCCCTTAAACGAGAGAAGGAGGATAGCCAAGTTCTTGAAAGAACTCGCACATTGCCTCTGACATTTTGGAATAATCAGAGTCCCCACTGAGTACATATTTGACTAAGTTAAAGAAACTGAGAATAAGAAATTGAGTTATTGACATTTTATGGACGTGAAGATGAATATAACAGGTGACTATGAAAATCTTTAGCTTTGTAGCACACACTGTAGCATGGGCCATTTCCTTCGAAAGAAGTTTTGATATCTAGAAATTGGGAGTGACGATGAAAAGAGATGGTTATCATGTCCATAGTCATTCCTATTCCTGCTTTGGTGAAGTATTCTAATCAGAAGTCATAGCCATACCTATGAGGTACAATCCTCGATTCTTTCGTCTTTGATAACAGTGAGTGTACGATTTGCTGATATTTCTCTGTCTGTCTGTCTGGATGTCTGTCTACGACACAGATGGCGCGATAGTAACCAAGGTGATCAAACTTTTGTTTAGTCTATAAAATTGAATATGATTACAATCGATAAATTAACGCTACCAACCTTCTCGGTGTGTTAGTTATCAAACTTGACATGTTTGTCAAGTAGTCCAAGGCAAAAATGGCGAGCTCTTCGTCTTGCTCTATTTCGTAGCTGGTATGTTGAAACATTGCCTTTATGTAAAAAAGCCAGTCAATCTAAGAGCATAGAAACAGTGGATTACAATCATGTATACAGACATTTTTCAACAACTTGCACTAATTTTTATAGATATTTTATTCTTTGAACTTGAAAATACGGTTTGCTCCTAATTATTGGTATCCTTCATCAGAACTCCCCAATGCCACTACGATTGGGTATTCATTCTTTTTTTGCACACAACTAAGAAAGAAATTCCTTATGAAGAATCGCCCCTCAACAAAACTTCAGGATAGTTGTACACTTGACCATTGACCAAAAGCAGAGAAATTGAGATAAGAAGTGGTGTTAAAAGTGTGGGCAGACCCAATATAGACCCTGTATACTGAGCATAGTAAATCGAACCTGCTAAGGAGCTCTTCAAATCTACACCTGAGACTGAAACTTCTATTAAAGGAAAATACTTTACGGACATTGTGTCAGAATTTGAATATAACAGGAAAACCCATTACCTAACGCGGCAAGAAAAATTATCCGTGGAAAAACGTTTGAGACTTTGAATTGCTACAAGTTTGAGTATTATTTTCCGACGGAAGCTTTCTATCTCTTTCCTCTTATAAAACATAACACTGATGTTTCGCCTATTGAACATTGTGAGCAATGTTTGCCTTTGCTTTGGCTTGCTCCATTTGTAATTTGTTACTAGTCCATTCTGTTTCTATTTTGGAGGGATTCAACTCTTGAATTCTTCACTTCAGCGATCAGCACAAGAGTGGTGCAGCGAGAGAGAAAAAGAGTGCTTTCCTCAGCAGGGAATCCACTTGGCTATAACTGAACTACCGAACTAAAACGTAATGTATCATAAGAGAGTATTGGTTTCACTGAACCTTTTCGTTTCCGTCCATCTTAATAAGTTGAGTTATTCTTGGTTCAAACAACGTCTGCGGCAAAATGCGGGGTCAGAACGGGGAGGGGGGTACTTCACAAACGCAAACTTTAACACTTACTTTGCTATTCGTCGTATGACTAAAAAAAGAAAGAAAGCTGTCTTTCTGTTTACACCCCTGGTCCAACGACGTGATAGAGTAAATGTGATTGTTTTGATGTATTTCTAATCAATTAATATAAATTACACATGATATCGGGTGCAGTTTGTGATAGATCAACTCGAGTCAAAGGCTAACCGAATTGCACGAGCCCGTAAGGTGAGTGCAATTTTTAGTCCTTGAAAATTTTTATGAGTGCTGATTAGTTACAAATTTCACGAGAAAAGTTACGTGATTACTTGTTAATAATAATTAGTAACAAAGAAGCAAAAATATGACTCTGTTTTCCTCATTAGTTTTTTACTCTTGACATCATGGCTCACTGACCCGGCCGCTTGTTATTGCCTTGTTGCTGGAGTAGTCGGGCTTTCCCCTCAAGAACTGGCTTCAAGAATTTAAACTCTCTGTCACGTGTCGGTCTACAGCAGTAACCACTACGCGAAAACTATCACGCCGTAATTATAACTATTCATTTTTACCAATTCTCACCTGTTCTCCTGTTTGGTTTTGAAGTTTTTTCAAAGTCATTAACTTGTATACCTTACTTCTGTCAGCTCTCTCGTTAGCAGTTGCAGATAGCTTTAGCAAATAAAAATTTAAAAACAGGCATCACTGCCTCTTCAGAGGTTATTTACCACTTGTCAAGTTGTCTGTAAATTTGTATACCTTGCCATAGAGTATGGATATGGGGTCTCGTACCCGCTAACTCGGGGCTTTTTTGAACCTCAAGAGAATTCGTGAAGTCTTGGTATGCCGCTAAGTAAGCAGGGAGCTATGGAGCTTTCGATGACGGAAATCTCAACTGATGGTTTGGAAAACATTTGTCCAAGTCCACACTGATAAGGATGTGGCTTGTGCATATGAGGCTAAATAGGCAGCAAAGAATTGTCCAAATTTACTCTAAAGTTTGTTGTTTAAATTTTTTATAGGCAATTAAAAAAAAAAAAATCAGCACCATTTTTGCAATTAATCATTTGATAAAAAAAATCTATGTGGGTGAATCTTCTACTTCGATCTTATCAAGGCAAAGCATCACAAATCCTCACCACGAGACTGAGAAATAACATTTCACAGGTCAAGAACGTGATTCGGATGACGATACCTGTTCAAGCAACTGAAACCTACCTTACTGAGGTTCTGTTCAAATTCAAACACTTCTTTAAGCTGGTGTTCCGCCCACTCGCTCTCCCCACCTAACAGGTTGATCAACTCAGACATCAGCTTCTGGTAGGCCTCCCGTACCTGCAGTCAACAAAACAAAATGTAATAGGAGGGTCACACCAGAATCCTTCGCTGTTCAAGAAAAAGTTGACTGACATTTTTATCAGGCCGTTTACAGTAATAACTAATTGACCATCGAATTGTTACGGGGAAATTTTACACTGAAGCCTCGCAGTTTTGACCTCGCTACTGCTCGTTCAAAAGTGCAAGGCTTCAGTTTGAGATTTTCCTGTTCGGTCGGTCGAGGTTATTAAGTTGTTTACTATATGGCTTACATATTGGATAAACGAAAGTTTTATTCGAGCAGAAGTCGTCAATTTAAATTCCGCGATGCGCTCGTTTACCGGTCATGTTAAGACGCAGACGAAAGACTGCAGACTGCAGACCGTGCAGACTGTGCAGACTGTGCGGAATGTGCAGAGTGTAATTTTTTGTGTACTTTTCAGTTTTTTTCACTTTTTTTAAACTGTGATTTTCACCTTTTCCTTACTCGTTTGGTAACGTTGAAACAGTGTCCAGTTTTTGGACACATAACGTAGTTTTATGAGGTTATTTCGAGCTCAGGTTACCAAGCAACAATTTGGACGAAATCCCAAGGCTCAAAGTTAACGAGCACGTGGTGAGATGGATATCGACGAGGAAAAGTTGTATTTAAGTTTGCCCTTGTGTTGACATGAATTTTAGCTTTGTCATATACTTTTGTTGACTCTTTATTTCTGTATTGAAGATGGAAACCAGCGACTGATTTAGAGGTAAGAAGTGGGCTGCGTGGACAAAGCAAATAATTGCCAGGCTCTTCACAACACGACCCAAAGAAAATTACGATAAATAAAGTGCTGCATGCTAAAACTAAAACTTTTACTCGGAAATAAGATCGTGCCCAGACACTTGAACGCAGTTGTATTTGATACGACATTGCCATAAAGATGAAACATTGATTCATACATTTCGTGGAAGCTCCTCTAAAAATCAATGATAAGTGTAGTAAAACTAAGGAAAGCGTGACCCTAGTGCATTGAAACGTGACCTGTCATCCTAAGTTTGAGAATAGATAAATAGCTCTTATTGGAGTTGAATGCACTGATCAGACACTCCAGCGGTATTTTTGTGAGTGTAGCACCAAAGTGAGGCATTAGGGTCGATGTTTGATTCAACTTAAAGAAGTTGTATGCGAGCCAAACATGTCAACTGATGATAATCATAAAAACACATTAGAATCTGTGAACTTTATGGCTGAGGAGGAAGCCCAGTTACTGTGCGGAGACTGTCCACGTCAAATCACGAAAGATAGACTGACACAGTGGCTGTCGTATCGTAAAGGAACGGCCAAGGATGGAAGTGCGCGTTCCGACGCCACGAAGGTCGATTATAACATAACCAAGGTAAAGCGCGCGCTCTGATTGGTCAATTTAGCGTCCCCCATTTGCCCATGGGTGTACGCTGCTGACGTGAGCAAATGCAAAGACTATTTTTCCGCGTGCGCTTGTTTTTTTCTGGTCGCGTAAGATTTGTTAAATAAAAGGGYACTCTTTAGCTACAATGTATCAATGTTATGTTATAAAACAAATGGTAAACACCACAGCGTACACTATTGAGTTATGGATGCACTTGGGAGGTTTGCTAAGCACTCAAGAAGCTAGAGTCGCTCTCGGCTATCGCCTCGAGCGACTCTTACGCTTCTTTCGTGCCTAGCAACCTCCCGCGTGCATCCATAACTCAATAGTGTACGCTGTGGTGCTTACCATTTGTTAAATTGAACTCGCACAGAGGTAACTTAATCTAGATAAAGATCACTATTACTTATATATATCTTGGCAACAACTATAAGCTAAATTTCGTACTTGAGTTCAAAACTTTCGGTGACACAGTCGCCACTTGGCTGTAAGATAGTTTGCGTCTCTTTGGCTTTTCGACCGTATATGCAAACTTAGTGGGAACTGGATCCGGCTTTAAATGTCTTATTGGTCCGCCTAGTGCTTTCGTAAAGCATTCGCCTTCAAAATGTTTGCTGCAAACAAACGAGTTCTTCGTTAATGGTGTATTTTGACGCCGTAATTTGACGATCCATTGAGACCGTAAAGGCTTGTTTCTTAACGGAAGAGAATGCCATGACAAATCTTTGCATTCCGGTTTTGAGCTTCTGTTTACACAGTCATAAGCTATTCAATGTTTCACCGTTATAAAACAAGTAAAATACTTGTAAGTTATTTCAAACTTCGTTCAAATTCTCAACGTTGTATAGAAATCACTTGAAGACGCCATAGAAACTGAGAGACAGTCGACCCTAATGCCTCACTTTGGTGCTAAACTCGCAAAAAATACCGCTGGAGTGTCTGATCGGTGCGTTCAACTCCAATAAGAGCCATTACTAGGCTGTTGTAAAGCAGAAATATGTTCTTTGTAACATGCAAAAATGTGCAAAGTGTAATCTTAACAGAGCAGGATTTACGTAGGTGAATGGGGTAGAACAAAGCATTATGCTCACGTTCGAATCAAGGTGTTTACTAGAAAGGAAAATACATGCCTTACCTCGCATATCTAATCGATCACGTAAAAACTAGCCACCAATATGTATATAAGCACTTTGATTTAGCAAATAAAGTTAGATGTAATCAGGACTAGAGTGTGCGCGAGTCAGACACTTTGTTTAGGACCCCAAAACGGCCAAGTCTAGAGTAAAACAAGCAGTTGGCACTTATCTGTTGGCCACGAAACTTGCCCTGTTGTAACAACAAGTAAATATATATATAATCATGGGTGTACTGTATCGAAGGGTGAAGTAGTAAGTAACCAAAAATTCCCCCGTCTGCACGGCCTGCACGGTCTGCACAGTCTGCATGGTCTGCAGTCTGCAGTCTGCGTTTTAACCTGACCGCTCGTTTACAAGCTCATTCGGTCATTCATCGGTTCAAACGCACGGTAAAACTATGCAATCAATGAACTACATCGCAATATCACGTATTCCGTCAAGAAACAAATACACAGCTTGTCACAACTGGATGAAAGGGATTTTGACCGATTTTCAAAGCAAAACTTCGATTGGAGTGCATACCAAGACAGAACGTGCTTCAAAATAGTTCAAGCATGTCCGGCCCTTGGTGAAAGAGAATGCCAATGCTTCGGAATGCATTTTTCAAAATCTTTGCCGTCACTTTCAACAGTATATCTTCGCTTTTTGGGAGATTTACGGGATGAACTGAACTTTAAAAGCTTTTCAACATCTAAAACTACATGAAGTAATCAGAAATACTATTGACAACAGAAACCGCTCGATTGTTTACATCTAATGCTCCTGAAAACTGATTTATACTTGATTGTTTTAATGGCGAGTTAATCTATTAATGAGAACTATTGAGCCACCTGTGACAACAATTTAAATTTCCTGTAATTGTCGAGAATACTAGATTTTTTGTGGTGTTCTAGTTAAGATGCATGACAAATCCACGGATGCTGTTTTCCACTTAGCGGTTTCTTATATTGGATATGGGCTTCAATGTATTTTTGTTTGATTACCTCGTCCTCTCCAGCACAATCTTATGGGTAATTTAAAACTGCACTGTAGCTGTTCTTCTAAATTTTTTTCTGTTTTTATTAAATCGATTCTACTCTCTCTGACTGTTGAACGGCCTTCATCGTTTTCACATGCTTGAATTTTCAAAAAGCGAAAAGAACCGCCGCGGTACTTGTCTGACAGTTCTGTGCTTTTTCTAATTTGCATAATCCTTAATCGACCCGTGAACATTATACAAACATGAAATCGGGTATTACGGTAAAAATTAGAAAATAATACCCAATCAGAGCGCGCGTTATATCGGCCACAAGCCTAGGCCATATAGTAAATATGCGTTGACCAAACGTGGGGCCAAGATGGCTGGATATTGGCCGAGATCTTTTTTTGCGTTTTTATGGACTGAGAATAAGTACGACCTATTAAAGTGGAGCCATGCACTACCTTTGAAAATGTTGCACTTTACTACAAGGAAAAACGATAGGTGCACCCTTGGATAAGATTCTTTCATCCGCGCCGAAAAAAACAAACTAGATAATTCGCCTTTGAGCATAGTTGAATGACTTTTTCCAAGAATTTCAGGCGATTGTCCATAACTGAAGGCTGGAAACTCAAGCTTTTAGACTGTTGAACAGTTTGGTGTCCATACTGAATACAATTGAAGTATCATTGTCCCTTGCTGTTGTCCTTTCCAACATAAATTGTTATCACCATTTCCCTGTAGTAGGATTTGTTGAGACCAGTTTTTTATTTGATTTACAATAGATTGAGGCAGTTTTTCTATCCCCTCAATTGATGCTGTTCTTTTGACGTATCACTGTACCAACTTGGTCGTCAGTTAACACTGTTAATTGCAGAAGTTAGTTATAACAGTGTAAACCGGACCCTTGTAGCTGCGCGGCCTGCGCCTTCTGTCTGTTTGTAAATTGATCCATCGTACTGGAAGAGCGTAGATTTCAATAAGAAGTACAGGAGGTCCGTGATCTGACTAGGATGACTATACTTCACTAGCATATTTCAAACATGACCGCACCCAAATAAAGTAAAGTAACTTTTTAGTTCTAGTGTCAGTTATATCATTACATTTCCTATGGAGTAAATTAAGCACCCTTTAGGATTTGGAAGAGATAATATAAACGCGGTGATTCCAGCTTAAATCGTGGCTGTTCAAAATTCCAAGATCTTTTTAAATAATAACAGGTTCCATCATAGCTACCCCGAGAAAACACTCTCTCATAGATACATTCGATGCGCCATATCCTTAAAACCTTACACTTTTCGACATTGAATTCCATTCCCCAAATGCGTTGCAACTCAAATAACTTATTTAAGTCACCATCATCTTAGCCGAAAATTAGGCGAAAATGTTTAGAATCATCGGAGAAGAGTGACACTGACGGTAACGTTATGTACACGTCACCCTCAACATCTTTACCCAGGAACGCGTAGAAAGGTCGTGACAGCATTTAAAACCACCAACGGCCTTTTATTTGCTGTACCATGGACACGGGAGACAACAACAAACTCGCCTTCCTCGACTCTGCAGTACAAGGGAATGGCGCGGCTTGACTTGGTCAGAAACAAGTTCAGTATCAAGTAAGAGAGCCATTGAATCTTTCACGAACTGTCAATTTAAGCGAAAATTATGGATATATTCGGAGACTAGTAACAAATTTATCAGTAAAAATGATCCTTTTTCGACCGTTGTCGGTTAAAGTTCAGGCTGTTGTAGAACTGACAGTTAAACATTTGAGACCCTCTCGCCGATATGTTTCGGAGGTATTCTTTGAAATCTCTGCTAATTATCAGAAAAATACAGCTTAATCGAAGAGTATTACCGTAAATTCCAGGCGCAATATATAAAAAAGTAGGTACAGGTAGGTGCCTTTAAGCCATGTAAGTATTTAGACGTGATTGTCCAGATACATTGTACATCATATCGAACAGGAATCATCATCACTTACTTGGTAATGGTAAGAAGTATTAGCGAGGTATGCATCTCTTGTAATAGTATGAGTCGTTTGATCTATCTGAAAAATATCGAAAATAGGTTATCGGTGGCAAAACTGCATTAAACATCTACTAAAAGTTGGTAAAAGTTAGTTTCCGTAGAGGGAGTATATTTGTAAGTTGACTGCTCCCCTGTAACGCGCTGCGAATTCCCTGAGGCTTATTATGGCTTAGAAGGGTGGATGTTGATATAAAGAATCTGTCAACGAAACGGATCCGGAAATAAGGAAATCAAGATTGGCCATGAGAATCTCTTCAATGAATCATTTTCGAAAATCTGTAAAAGCTGAAATTAATAAATTTTTATCTGGCCAGAAGGACTCATTACGAACTGTTTTCAAAGATCTGTGGTGAAAACAAAACAAAACAAAACAAAACAAAACAAAAGAAATCAGCAACAAAGTGAAACTACCGTGTGGTCAAGTTAATGTATTTTGCACATGTATGATAAAGTTCCATTTCATTCAGAGAAGGTACACCTGCACTTTGATAATCTCTTCATCAACATGATTCTCACGATGAAGTGAAAATGCGTGCAAGAGGTTAACTCTGAAAGCGATCGCATTCCATCATAAATAATAGAAAAATAGGAAAAGTCTTTGCCGTCTTTTCATTTTATTACTTGTCTATTTCCTTTAATTTATTTGAAATAGCATTGCTCTTAAAAAACGAGGGAAATAGTATTTCCGAATTCCTAACAAGAAAAACTGCGTGGGTCGATATGTACTATTAGTGCTCGACTGACTTTTCTTTGATACGTAATTTATGAAAAATGCGTGCTACTCCTCGGTCCTGCTGGCCTAATGCTAGCTAACTCAGACACGAATGCAGCGGAATTCTCACGCAGTCCAAATGATTAAGACTCTCTTCAAATAATTGTGAACATATAAAGCAAAGGTTATAGATGGTAAAGACTCTAGATAAATCATCATCTTCTAATTTTGTTAAATTTTAGTGAAGCCTCTATTTACGGGTACCATATATTAAGCGGACGCCGGCCAAAGTCCTGATTTTGGCTTCAGTGTATCGAATCCATTTACTTAGGAACAATATTAATAGGAGACCTCTCTTTTGCAGAAGGGGACACCAAAATAAGTCCTTTTGTCATCTAAGAACTTTCGGTTGCAAATTAAGTGAAGATGTGACCCGCTACTATCGATGGGAGAAGAGGCTACATCTTCATTTCTGCAATTTCTTTAATCGTAGCTCACCTGCCGGGATCATATCTTCGTTTCATTTCATAATTCTCGTTCTAATGGATGCTTGATATCGACATAAATAATTCACCAGAATAAGAGGCATAACTGCTTCAAATACAACCGAGTTTGATGGTTTTCAATTCATTCAAAAATAAACTTCAATACCATTATGATGTAGCGCGAGGATTTCATCAGGTCTGGTTTTACTTGAAGCGTAAATAATGGCGAGAGGTTGAGCTCTTTGTGCATACGAACCAAAGTCCCGGCAAAATTCCATGAGTCGGAAGTCCAAGTTTTGTTGGTGATATTCCATGAACCATACCTCGCAATTAACTCATGAAGAGGTAAACCTTTCGCGTGTTCTATGGCGTCGTGGTTGGTGCAGGAATCATAGTATTGGAAAGCTTTGTGAACAGCATCATTCTAGTGAAAGAGGCGGTAATGAGGTTGCGTCCAATTACTATTTGAACAATAGAGTGTTTCCGTCGAGGACAAATATGCCAGTTTTAAGAAAATTAAATTTCCAAGGGGCAACTATCAGACCGATAGTTCCGAGACAAACACTCTATTGTCTTTATTGCTCACCACTAAATTTTCTTCCGCACGCCAGTTGAAAAACAGTCAAAACCCACTAAATGCAGATCAATCAAATATATATTAGATACGATGAATATATGAAGTTCATATATTTTGAACTGCGGTTATAGATACGTATGATGCACGATCCTCGCAGTAGAGAGCACCATTATGCAATAGCGAAACTCAGACCTGAAAAAAATCAGGCCTGTACGGGATTCGAACCACTCACCTCTGCGATACTAGTGCCAACTGGGAGCAGGCCGTAATGGTGCTCTCTGCTGCGAGGATCGTGCATCATAAAAATATTTATTCATACGTACA